ACCCCTAATTTCAACAATCTATATATTACATACAATGATACAAATCAATAAAACTAAACTGCAAAACAGAAAATAATGCAACATAGTTGCTATGGAAGACTTCAGCTAAAGAGCATTCACTGCAGGTCATATCCATAGATTTGTATTCATGAGAAAAAAAACTAGATAAGCACATTAAATACAGAAAACAATGCACTAGAAATTCTTACAAAGGATTAAACACAGCATAGAGCAACATCTACTAGGCAGAAAAAGGAAGTCCAGATTCAAAATCATCCACAATATACAGAAAGAGAAAATGGTTTAACTCCATTCTAATCTACTGGTAGGAGCGGACCGAAGGGGCATCATGAGCTCTTGCATTAAAGTCAGAGCTGCTCAAACACAAGAAAGAACGAATTGTGTTTCCTTTTCAAAAATAAAATATGATGAAATGTTGATATTCCATAGAAATATAGGACCGCAGATTTTCAGTAGTGATAACACCAACCAACCTCTGAGTTTCTTGATACCCAGAACATATTGCCACCAAAACTGCTTGCCATAGCTTGTGATCCAGAAACAGGAAAAAATATAGCATACTTGGAATTTCCAACAATATCCTCCAAACCCCGGATATATGTAGCAGTCAAGACATGAATATCACCAAGATGTAGCCCAGGATACTTGTAGACAAGAACGTCTCCAGAAAGTTGGCCATCACCACTGTGCAACAGGAGATATAGGAAGTTACAACGGCACCAATAGGAACAGCAAGAAAAAAAAATACTCAGTTGTCTAAAATTTAGTAATAAACTGTTAATTTCATGCTACCCTAACAGATTACACATAAAAAATACTATCATATTTCAGTAAATTTCTGTTTTAGATGAAGCAAGCTTTGTTTCATGATGATATATTGTGGCCTCTACGTTCCACAAAATGATGATGCACCCAGCCATTACAAGGTTAAAAAAGGGATAGAACACTGAAACAAGGTGTGCATCAAGCAACACGAAGTCACAAAGGACACAAAACCACAAGAACAGTGCTTGCAGCTTGCTATGCACTAACACTTGTTGTCTTATGATGAGAGGATCTCCAAGACTCCTAACTGAAGTCCTCCGACATGTAGAGTGACCAATAAGGTGCTCAAAGAGTGGCCGATGACCACAAAGCATGGCCAATGACTAAACCAGTGCTAAGCATCTTCTCTCTGAGTGAACTCAGAATCAGCAGGAACTCCAAAGGCATGCCTCCTACACACGATGTGATGATGCCATCATTATCTGATCCAAAAGGATATATAATGGTTTTCACCTGGATAACCAGCTGAGGGATACAGAGGTGAAGGCAGCACCAAGGAGGGACCCTTAGGTTCAACAGTTGCAAGGAACCCAGTAATTTATTCCAATTTTTCTAAACAAACATAGAAGGAACTAGAAGACTCTATATTAATTAGTAAGAATTAGGCACCCAAATTCACCTCGATGAGGATTTGAACTTGAGTGGTCTGGGTGTACATCCACACCCTCATCCAACCTTGGTAATTTGTTCCTCTTTTTTAGAATGACATGAAGCTTTTGCCAAAAATGTACACATTACAAAGAATTAAAGAAAAGTAAAACGAGAACAATGCAGCAGCATTGGTATGCATCATGCAAACAGGTCTGGAAAACCCTAAAGAAGTTTCTGATTCATGTGAGATTATGCAGGCATGCACGACTAGTTTCTGTTGTTTCTGGAGTTTAACGGTAAAAGATGGTGAGCAATACACCACTGAGAAATTTAGCTGCTCAGAGGAGACAAAAAAAAACATCAAGATTCAACAGGCATTGTTGAATACTTGCAGTATGACACAAACTTCGTTAGGTTTTAAGGACCCTGTGGGGTCGGTTGTACCCATCAAAAAGAAGGAATCATTAATTGGGATCTTTCCATGTCTGAGTCCTCTCATTTCCTCTTTAGCCATGATTTCAAGTCTGGACTGCAAATATGGCTCCTCTATTGAAATCCCGGAAAGAATCATTTGTGCGATATTGAATTGTCCATTTCAGCAAAATTTAATGAAGCTGTATAGCCAACCACAGACGAGATGATATAGGGTTACCACATGAATCAAAGCACTAATGAGAATAATACAACAATTGGTCTTTGATAAGTCCATGCCGACATAATCTAGTGAAATTTATAGGCCAACAACAAAAAATGAACAAGAGACAGCACATGAACAAAAGGTTGGCATCAAGGATAACATCATTTATGGTCAGATCAGCTGAAGTATAATAAATTATAAATAACATTTTACACCAGTTGCTTAGAGGGAACCAATGCCTACCAGTCAATATCCTTGTTTGGTTCATGTACTAGTATTTTTTTACCACAAAAGACTGTGGGGGAGATCCCCACAGTGATAGATTTTGTATTAATAAAAGGTAGAACGTACTTACAAACAGGGATTAACTAAAAGCATCCAACCAAACACAAAAGGATGACCGCAGGTCATCCTTGAAACGAACAGACTGCAAGAAACATTGATTTTTAAAGTTTGCCAACCAGGCCGATGGAGTTGGATCACGCCTCTGAAAAACCTTGTCATTGCACATCTTCCACAACTCCCATGCTGCTATCAGGGTAGCCTCCATGAAGAAAGGAACATTGTGAACCTATCCCGCCTGTACCAATCTATCCGAAAGTTGCAACCTGTCATTCCAGTCAAAATGGATGATTGCCCAACATTCCTTCGCGAAGGGGCAGTTGAAGATTAAGTGATCAATGGTCTCCTCTTCACCACGGTTGCACATGACACAGATGTTATCATCCTGTATGTTCAGATGTCGTCTCTGGAGCATAGACTTGGTATTCAAACGGTCCACCAGGACAAGCCACGCAAAGAATTTCACGCGTGGAGTGCATCTAGATTTCCAGATGGCTTTGAAGATTGGATGTGCTTCCATGGTACTGAAGACATGAGAGTAGAAATGCCGTGAAGTATACACATTGCCCCAGGTGGGCAGCCAGCAATCCTTGGCATCAGCATCGTATGACAGGTTCTGAAGGTGCAGTTGCAGGACTTCATATTCCTCAAAAGCTTGATGCGAGAGCGGGAGGAAGAAAAGTTCATCAAGGTCTGTTGCTTGCATGACCTCCAGCACTGAGGCATTCTCATTACATGCAAAGGATGCCAACCTTGGAAACTCTTGGGATAGAACGTCATCAGACCACATATCATCCCAGAAACAGACTGTCGAACCATCCCCAATCTCACACTTGGCAATGCCTCGGAAGATGATGCTGAGACGAAGAACATCCTTCCACCAGAAGGAGCCAACTTCCCTAGATGCATGGAGTACTTTGGTGGTATAATATTTGCTCCACACAAGGTGCACCCATGGGGTGTCAACTTTGTTATAGAATTTGAAGAGATGTTTGAGTAGTAGAGCATCATTTTGCAATCTAAGGTTAAGAACTCCCAGTCCCCCTTTCTCCTTGGGCTGCATAACAACTTCCCATGCAACTAAATTCCCCCCTTTCTTTTGGGAATCATTACCACTCCAAAGGCATTGCTTTCGTGCTCTATTGATGTTGTCAATGACCCCTTTTGGTAGCTTGATGGTACACATAGTATATGTGGTGATGGGGGTTATAGCCGAGTTAATCATTTCCAAGCGACCCGAGTAAGAAAGCCATGTGGAGCACGCAGAGAGCCTCCTCTCTATTCTGTTCATCATCGGGGTGAAGTCCTCAATGTGTGGCTTGGTCGTGCCCATGGGCAAACCCAAATACATGAACGACATAGAACCAATATCACAGCCCAATTTGTTTGCTAGATGGGTCATCTTCTCCTCATTGACATTGATGGAGTACATATGTGATTTACTGTAGTTAACTTTAAGCCCCGTTGACTCCGAAAAGCTATGCAACAAAGCCTTAAGAAAGATCAGCTGTCCAGCATCGGCTTGCAACATCATCAGCATATCATCAGCGTACTGAACTATTGGAAAATCCCCAGTTGGTTGTGGAATTGGAACTCTGAGCAAATTCATAGCAGCAGCCCGGTTGATTAAAATCTGCAGAAGTTCAACCGCTATAACAAAGAGGAGGGGCAACAATGGATCGCCTTGACGGACCTGTCTCTTGCACTTGAAAAATTTTCCTAGGATGCCATTGAATAGGACAATAGATGAACCTGAAGAGAAAATGGCTTGAACCCAATTCAACCATCTCTGTGGGAACACCATGTGAACCATAACTTGCATAATAGTTGAATGTTCCACTGTATCAAACGCTTTCTCAAAGTATAATTTTAGGATGATGATCTCTCTTTTCGACTGATGGCACTAGTGAATGTACTCATAACTCCATGCTAAGCAGTCTTGAATCGTGCGAGAGCGAATAAAACCATATTGATTTTGATGAACAACTCTCAAGATGACAGCCTGCAACCTCTCAGCTAGAATCTTAGTGATGACCTTGAGCGAGATGTTCATTAGGGAGATGGGGTGAAAATCATTTACTGTCTCTGGACTGTTCTTTTTAGGAACTAAGGTGATATAAGAAGTGTTGATGCATTCAAGATTAATCTGACCCGAGAAGAACTTTGAGCAAAGGGAGTAAAAATCACCTTTGATAAATTGCCAACACTTTTTTAGGAAACGGCCGTTAAAACCATCAGGGCCTAGAGCCTTGTCAGCCAGCATACGCTTCACCACCAAATCCACCTCCTCTTGCAGAAGTGGGGCAGCAAGAGAATCTAGGTCGTTCACTGGCGTGACAAGGCTAGAGAGGTAAAAAAGCATAGTAGGTGATGACGTGGTGCTCATGCGATTTCTGAAGGAGTTCCAGAGAAGGTCTGCCTTCCCTTCATGGTCGTGGATCCAAATGCCTTGGTCATTCATGATCTGCTCAATGGAATTTCTTCTATAAGAAATAGTAGCCATGCCATGGAAGAATTTTGTACACTCATCGTCCAGCTTTATTCTATTGACTGTGTAACGATTCCTCCAGTAGAGATTCTTGTATCAGAACGAAATTTGAAGTTGTTTCTTGAGAACAGCCCGTAGGTTTGCTTCTGGATTTAAAAGGCCTCTTATATCCTCCAAAGCATCTAGAAAACCAATGACTTGGTTGCAGTTGCTGATGAGCATTCTTAGATTTGATAAATGCTTGCTCCTGTCCTTCAGTCTGGTTCTTAGGGCCTTGAATTTGGAAGAGATGGTACGTGCAGCATCACTGTTAGCTGGCGTAGAGGTCCATGAGTCATATACTGTGTCCAGGAAATCATCTTGCTCTGCCCAGAAATTCTCAAAACAGAATAGATTAGCTCTAGGAATTTTTGTGCTAATCACCACCTTGCATGGAATATGATCCAAAGTGATCTTTGCTAAAGGGAGGACCTCTGTGTTGGGGAAGTCGATGGTCCAGTTAGTGGACGTGAAGAACCAATCAAGTTGCTCAAGCAACGGATCAGATTGCATATTGCTCCAAGTGAATGCCCGACCCTTCAAAGGCAGCTTAACTAAACCAAGATGCCTAATCGCATCATTGAAAATAAAAGTGTCAGCAAGATTGCCACCGGGTCTATTTTGATTATTCAGAGAGCGGTAGAAATTAAAATCTCCCAAGAAGATCCAATTCTCTGAGTCAGATATAGCATGACTACGAAACCAACTGACAAACTCTGAGCGGGTAGGATCATTACATGGTCCAAAGACTGTGGTTAGTTTCCAGGTCTCGCTGGTGTGAGTCGAAGTGAAGCTAACTGTGAGACCAAAGCTCTGTTTATCAGTGACTATGCCTGAAAAAACTTTCACTGTTCCAGAGAACAAGGATACCCCCAGATGCTCCTACAGAGGGTACATAATCAAAATGGTCAAAACGCCGCGGTGCAAATTTTCTGATAAAGGATATATCAAAGGTTTCTTTCTTCCTTTCTTGCAAACATATTACTGAGCTAGCACTCTCTTCAATTTTATCACGTACCGCATCCCATTTCTCTGTGGCATTGATCCCACGAACATTCCAGCACAAAATAGTCCAGTTACGTGTACCCATTATGTAACAATAAAAGGGAGACGGTAGTTCCTGATATGACTAGCATAATCAGGATGGGTTGCATTTCAGATGGTATATTGATCGAGAGGATGAAGATCAACAAAGAAGTAGAAGCCAGATAAGTGAAAATGCTAAGATTGATAGTAGTGTCCAAAGAGGGAAAGATAGTAACATTAAAGCAAAGGACACACTTAAAATTTGGCCACACGACTGTTACAAGATAAAATGAGCAAACTGCTGCCCCAGGCGTTCTACAAAAGTTTACGATCATAGCACTTGGCGATAACTAAATCAGAGGATTCATCATTGGCCACCGGATTGGAAGAGGGCGCCTGCATCAGCGCTTCTTGGGATAACTCTCCAGGAGTTACTCCACAATTGATACCCCAGCCCTGCAGGATATCAATTGGTATTGGTCCAGTTTGACCCGTAGGCTCGACAAGCAGTACTGGACATGTCTTTCTCTTCTTGCATGGATTTCCAGCCAACCTGACCTCATGGAAGCCATCCTTGTCACTAATGTCTTGTGCTGCGTCTCACAATACTGTCCACTAGCGGAGTAGCAGGATTACTAGAGACATCAGGTAGAGACATGTTGTTGTTCATCCTTGTGCTACGACTAACAGAGCCTTCCACCACTGGCGAGATTGTGTTACTTGAGGCCACAGGTAGGGAGAGCATGGCAGTCCTCCGATGTTGGTATACTCTCATGCCTGCTTCACCACATGGACTGGGCTGCATTTGCTCACTTTGAAATTCAAAACCTGACGACCTCGACACGAGGATCAGGCAGGATGATAACAGAGGAGGACCTTGGCTGAGCACATGCTGCCCGACGACTCGCCACAATAGATGGCCATAGCTGGAGAGCTAGAGCAGGCAGGACCGGCTTCTAGGGGACAATCTCCATGCCTGTGATAGCGGGCGTTGGCGTGGACAGGTTGAGGGATGGTTGCAAAACAACTCTGTCAATCACAATGGGTCCCATGTTGTCATTGGCCTGAGAAAATGAGGCCATGTGGAGTACTTCATCAGGCATGTCTTTTCTGTTGAAAATCAAGATGTTGGTGCACCTCTTCTGTGTAGCAGCAAACCTTGCTCTATCCACCAAAGTGGAGCTTGCATCACTAGATGAGGAACTACCATCCTCAACTGAAATACCCTCCAGTACATGGTCAAGGGAGATGTTTGTCCCATCACCACGTAAAAACCTCATAGAGGATCCTGACAGCTCGAGATCAAGGCGATCCTAAGGAAACTGAGGATGCTGATGGAGCACCTGACCATTGTCAGTAGCAAACACGGTAGGGTTCCATGCTGGCCACTCATCATCAGCTTCATCTACTTCCATGTTGTCCACATCTAGCTGCTGATTCTGCTGCAGACCTGGGTTTTGCTGCACCGGGCCCTGCTAGGCATGCTGACCTTGCTGAACTGGTTGGTTAGGAAAAGGATTTGGGGGATCCGCGTGAAATCGAGGTTCAGCTCAATTTCCTTGCGTTTTGGGATTTTTAGTTTCCAAACCAGGTGGGGGGCAGTATTCGTAACAAAATTTTTGGTGCAGTCAAACTTTCGTTGCCAGACCCAATTGGGCCAGGTACGTGACCGGCAATGCTTTCTAGTATGTCCCCCAATTAGAGCATTTCCAGCATCAGATACGAGAGGGACAATTGGAGCTAATATGGCCCAAACTTGAGCAACGGGAGCAAAAAGGCCCAGAAACGGCAGATTTGGAATTTGAAAAGAGGGCATAGTCCCACGCTGATTGAGGGAATCTTCCGAAATAGCCACGGAAATCTCTCTAGGCCGCTGCATGCAAGGAGGATGTTGCGTGTAATCCTCTCTAGGCTGCTGCATGCAGGGAGGATGTTGCATGCAATCAGGCCGAAGAACACGATCATGGCCTCCACCAATTTGAAATTTGGTATTCCCAAACAGAAGATTTGTGGATTATTTGATAGGAGCAGAGAAAGCACCAAAACAAATTGACGATTGCGGAGAGTGCTTAGGGGGAGAATGATCGACCAAATTCTTAGCAAAACTAACTCTTTTTTGAGGTTTGGAGGCCTTTACAGCTTCCCTTTTGGATCTCTTAGAGAGTACTTTTGTCCATTCTTTCTCCTGCTCTTCTAACCAGGCACGTTTCTCATGCTCCGAATGAGGCGTGCCATTGTTCCATAGGTGGAAGTATAGATCAAAGGTAGAGGTGATCACTCTACAAAGTCTATACACATAGAATCTGACTTGTTTGGAAAAGACCGAGAACTGAAAATGATTATTGCTTAGAAAAGTCACAAGGAAATCCAAAGCATAGCCTCCCAAACAAGATTGTAAAGCCAGAGAAACTAAATCTTCCGTTAAATGAAACAAATGATGCCGAAAGGTGACAAGGAAGAACAAGCCATCGGGGGAGTGGTGAGGATGGTGTCTAGAGATTTGTAGAGTCGATAGACCTCATCTTGGAATTGCAGCCCAAGATCAAAGTCCATCCGGGAGGCCAATTCCGATGCTGAACCCACGGCCTGCCAGAGGGGATTAGGAAATCATCGATGGGCCTTGCCTAGATGTTGTTGCCACAAAACCTCGAACACCTTGCAAGCAAGATCCATAGAAGCTTCCTCCAGCCCCGAGGAGACGCCAAGGAGCTAGCTCAGGTCTTCTGGACACTAGCAAATCGGCGGACGCCAAGGCTGGAGCAGGCAGCAGCAATGTCGATGGCCACCGGGGTCGGGGTCAGGTGGCGAGGGGGGCCACGGTCCTCGCGGTGCGTGCAGGCGAGGGCCACGCCAAGATGAGGCACGTAGGTGAGGACCACCTAACTCTTCTTGTTAAACGACTCCAGGGTGCTTCTTGGGAAGGCAGGAAGTAATAGAACGGCGGAGTTGGCGACGGCGCCGGCTCGTAGAGCAGGAATGGCAAGAACAGTGGCCGTAGGAACATCACGAGCTAGTCCAGCACCGGGAACGGCCACGGGAACGACACCGTCCCATAGGCGCCGCCGCCCGAGACTCGGAACGACGGCTAGAAGAGCGGCAAGAACGGCCAGAAGAAAAGCGAGGAACCGAACGCGTCGCCCCCGTCCTCGTCCCCGTGGCCGTGGTAGAGCGCGTTGTCTTGGTATTGCCACCATTTTCCACAAAATTTAGCCAAACTAACCTAAGGATAGGTTAGGCATGATCATCTATGGTTTAGATTGTGGTTTATAGGTGAATGGTTTCAGTGGATTGGTTTGGTTGCAATGGTTTCCGTCGAGCTTGCCCTGGTGGGTTGATTACACGGTTTTGATGGTTTAAACTAGGTCTACATGCTTCCCTACCTGGCTGCAAATTGCTATGGCTTGGCTAGTTGCCTTGGATCTAGCCATGGTTCTAGTTTGCTAGCATCCCAATACCGAGCATGCCTACAAGGGACCAGGAAGACTCCTCTTCCTCCCGACACTCGTCCTTTGCTGAAGATGCCAGCCATAGTGCGCCATGCACCCATCGCTACAACACCTGCCTCATGTTGAACACTCATTGTTGCCGCCACGCTCGTCGTCCAGCCCGTTGCACTGTGTCCTCGCCACGTCAACATTGTAACAGAACCGACCAATTATATGAGATTAATTAAGGAAATCTTCCGCCGAAGCAGATAATCTAGCAAACTTAAGCCCATATAACCTGGTAGTCCGTGAAATCACGAGGGATTTCAAACCAATCGACATACAAACCAAGATCATACAAGTTTAGCAGTCACCGTCACATGTTACATAAAGTTCACAATGACAGTGGATACATCAGAGTTTAGAACATAAAGTTATTACAACCTAAGTTCAAACTGAAATAGCGGAAGCAAATAGTTTTAAAGCCACACACACACTTTTAGTTCAGATACAATGCCAGTAGGTAGTCATTTCCAACAAAAGCATCAGATGAGAGATATGGAGTGACCATTGCCCTTGGTCCTAGTTGTCACCCATCGCTGGGTACAGGCAGTTAATGCAATAGCCGTAGTACATTTGACCATCTGCAACAACAATGGGAACAACGCCCTGAGTACGAGAAGGTACTTAGCTAGACTTACCCATCTTAAACAAAAATAAAGCGACACCAAGGATTATGCATGGCTTTCTTTAGTGGGCTAGCTGACTTGTTTGCGAAAAGCACAAGTTATCATGAAGACATCATTTTAAATACTTTGCATCATCTTTATTAGGACCTATCCATCTAAGTAAGCACCTGTACTATAGCAATCACTTGATTAACCAATAACATCCAGTTACCAATTCAGATTTAGCATATCCCATACCATCCAGATAACCATCATTGTTCCATAATAATTACTACGATGCCGTAGCTCGAGTCAAGTGCTCACTGTCCAGGAGCGATGGCGATTCGGATCGATTCCTAACCAGCTGGTGATTTATTCCTCACACAAACCACGCTTCCCCGTCAGGGTCGCTTAGATCATCAATGACACTTTCCAAGTAGCCGTGGGATAACAGTCATGGACCGCACTACCCAGGGACCACCCGACTGCCAGGACGCACCTTGGACTCACTCTTTGCGTCCCCGTCATACCCTCTTCAACACTAGTCTGCACATCCAAGTTTATCCCGGCTCGAAATAGTGTCACTAGCTTCGCGGTCGAAAGGTACTTTATTCGGCCAGCTAAATGTGAGGCATGCGTTCAACATGACAAGAGGGACGAGCAATGATCGGTCCTTAATCGACACAGATGGAAACTAACAGCACCCCAGAACCCTGTCTGGTTGCCTCCAACTTTTTTCGTCCGGTCTCCAATTATCCATCACACATGGTTAATTCTAGGATATCATTCTTTCTATAGCTAAATTCTTGCAGTAACCACCTATAATATTGGTGACCGGATATCACCGACCGCTACTGGTCTAAGCAAGGCTAAGCAGTTATTCGATCCTGGCCTAACAGGGTAAAAGGTAATAAGGTAGGCAAGGATAGTAATAAATGCATCAATGGTTTCAATCAACTCCTATAACTTAA